CAACCCGCATTGAGCAAGCGTGGTGATTAATGCTGAAACCTTCTCCGTGTGAGAAGAGGCTTTGCTCAGCAGTGGGCATTTATAGGCTGTTGTTGTAAACCCAATGACAACATTTAATTTAAATAAATTAATTTATAGTTACCTCACAAATCAAACAGATTGTGATTGTGACAATGGACAGTCACACATTTACATAACATTATGTTATAGTATAGTTAAGTTCATGTTCTGCCGCCAGAGGGCATGTGTGGCGACATGACTAGGCTAATGGACATGGTTTCAAGCTAAATACCAATTACTTATTTGAAAACAAAAACATAGCATCACGCCTTTTATCCCCGAAGGGGTAGGCAGAGGTGCACATTATGCCACTGTAAGTACAATGTAACACCCACTTTTCACTATTTATGTTATGAGTCCCATGTAATAGGGGGTGAGCCTATTGCCATATACCAGGCACAATTCCAGACTCCGTGCTACTACTGAGATTTTTTTTTAAAAACCCAGTAATACTTTGCCCGACCCGGGAATCGAACCCGAGACCCCTTGCCCGACAGTCGCACTTGCGACCACTCGGCCAACGAGGCAGTCTTAGTCTTACTTATTTGGTTTTTGATATCATTGTCAAATACAATGTATTTGTGTTTGGCACGATGTTATTTGTTATAACACCTTACTGCTTTGTTGGTTCAGTGATAACTGGTCTGGGGTCTGTATACTGGCATTTTTTTTCAATTAAACCATAGTTTGGTACTTTTGAAACATCAGCATATACAAAATAAATAAGTCTGTCAGTCAGTCCGTCAGTGAAACTAGGTGAAGCTAGGTGCTCATTCCAAAATGTAAATTCGAATGGAGAAGAACGAGCAAGAAACTCCATTCGTTACTCTTTTTAAAAAAAGTATGTTCTACAATGTCTCAGATACATATTTCAATACTGCTAGGTTTACAATCCTGGTTTATTAGCAGAAACGGATTCGACTTCCAGTTCCAACAAGTATTTTTAATGTTTTAGTTCATTTATGAAACCAATTTAGTAGGAGGTGAGCTTATTAAAATGAGTATGTGAGGTCCCCACTGTACTATGTACTTATATGTAATCATAATCCTATATAATCGAATGTCTTACTATTAATAAAGCAGTGTATTCTCAGCATTCGTACTGTTTTATTCCTAACACTCGACCCGTACCGTACATGGCGACCCTGCAGGATACAGCCAAAATCCAAAAAACCCATCCAACCCTGAAATAGAACCTGAGACCGTTGCTTGGCAAAATTGCACTTGCATTTGACTAACTAACAAAGCTGACAATTTTTCTAAGGGCCGATTTTTTAATGCTCAGTTAAGTTTTATCAAAGGAATAACTTTGAATATTTGACAATTCTTCCATATTAATAACTGTCAAATGTCAATTTTATTCTACAGTTGAGAACTGACGATTGAAAAATTGGCTCTTAACCTGGTAATAGAAGCAGATCACCAGAATCCTCTACGATTAAGGTTGCCACCCGTACTTTATAATAAAGTATTGTACGTTATTTAAGGTAATTGTACTCTATACTTCATAAGAATAATAAAGTACACGAAAATACTTTATTTTTGCAAAATTCGATATCGATATTTATCGACTTATGTTGAATCGATTTCGCCGCTCGCCAGCGCCACTTAGACAATTTCTAGTTAAGATGCAATTGTTTAGTATTTCAATGCAATTGTTTAGTAAAGATACTAATTTAATACAACCTGCAAAAAGCAATAAAAAGTATATTTTTAAATATAATACTAAATAAGAATAATTTGTACTTTATTTTTGTACTGTGTACTTTTTTTTCTTACCTATAACCGTCAATGTATTTTAAATACCAAAATAAAAGCAACCCTATCTACGATTAACAAACGACAAATAACTAATTGTAGTAAAACTAACGCAATAACAAAATAAAATCGTATTATCTAGTATCATAAAAATGCTGTCAGATAATATTGAGCTCTGTGACAAGTTGTAACACGTCGCAAATGTCACGGGAGCAGTAAAGTGTGTCACGCTGTCACGGTGGACGAGGCGAACGTGTCATTCAGCCAGAGATTGCTCGCCCGCATTCAAACACACATTTATAAGCAACGGATTCCGTGTTTTTTCAAGTTCATTGGAATAGAGGAATATAGAGATGTAGATAAATAAGTTAAGAAATAATTCTTTTTTAAATCTTCATTTCTCAAACTGACCAAGGGAGACATTTTGGGAACAGACAGAGGTGTTTACTTAATGATATATTAGTGATATGCTCTAGAAGGTATTTATTTGCTTACAAATCTTTAAAAAATCATTATCATCATAACATCACGCCTTTTATCCCCGAAGGGGTAGGCAGAGGTGCACAGAGAAGTAACACCAACTTTTCACTATTTATGTTATGAATCCCATGTAATAGGGGGTGAGCCTATTGCCATATACCGGGCATATTTCCAGACTCCGTGCTACTACTGAGATTTAAAAAAAATAAAGACAATAAACCATTTCAAAACTCAAACTCATCAGAATTGCTCTTGAACAAGTTACATTTTCATAAACTAAATATGGATACTAATATTTTTTTCATGAATAAAGAGATGTTTTAAACCGTTGTAAAAATATGACCGCACTATTAACAATATGAATAAAAGTGCAATTACTCTAGAACATTCCAACTATACAGCTTTCGCTGAGCTATTTGTAAAAATCTACAGCGTGTTTGTGTAACAGATGGCAATTCGTTTAGCTGATTGGTTCACTGTGGGCGTGTTCCGACATGTTTTTATAAATGTTCCAATATTTTTCTTGTATTTGTAGGCTTTTATCGACAGTTCAATAAAATAGTTCAATGTATATCCGCTTGAATAATATCTCAATATCGGCTGTAACGTTTTTTATTGCTTTTCATTTCTAGTGTGTGTCAATTTGTTTGTTTAGAAGCTATTTGAGATTTGTTTGACTTTATCTAAGCTTTTATTTTGCATTTTTATTCCCACTAGTCCCTACAACTATTCTCTAAGTTTCCTATATCAACTATAAGGTAACATGAATACCCTATAAGTTTTAACTTTCATTAATTCTAGTAGTAATAATAAAAAAATCAATAATGACTGCACGGTTGGCGCGGTGGTTGGGCAACTGACTGCCGCGCAACGTGTCGCAGGTTCGATTCCCGCACGGAACAACTCTTTGTGTGATCCACAGATTGTTGTTCCGGGTCTGGGTATCATGTGTAAGTATGTGAACTTGTATGTTTGTAAACGCACCCACGATATAGGAGAAAAACAGTGTGTGGAGCAACGTTTTTTTTTAAAAAAAGGAAATTATAAACTCTAGACATACTTAAATTGTCGCAGAGAACCTCACGGGTAACCGGGGCTCCGGCTCGACGTGCAGGAGAAGGAACGGGGTGGTTTTTAGTCAGTAAGAGTCTGACACTCCCTCCCGCCTCACCCAGGCGGGAGCAGTCATTCGATGATTTTCCCCACGTCATACTTAAATCCGTCACTATACCTCTACAGAGACACTGAATAAAATTCTTTTCCTAGTTATCTGAACTCTTGGATATCAGAAATCCCAATTACACCCTTAGCTGGAGGATCGAACAAACTTAACACGTCACGTACGTATCATGTTTGGGATCGTAATTAAATATATTATATTACAGCCGGGGGCCGTTAATTGTAATTAATTAGGATTTAACAAACACCGTATATAACCATCCATTGTGATCAAACTTTCGTATATTGTGTCGATTGTTGAACGCAAGAGATATTTTTGTAAAAGGGCAATCAAATTGTCAAGTTTGGTTTCAGGACTGTCGAGTAAATGAAAATAAACACAAACTACATGTTTATTCTTTCTTATTGTGTACAGTAGGCTCGTCATGTAAACAAAGACATGTAAAATAATATTCTCTGAAGGGTGAGTGAGTGTTTTTAACGCCTCGAGCGTCCTTATGAGCACCATTCCGTAAACAACTAAGCCCCGAGTGAATTAGTTGTTTACGGAAGGTGTGATCCATGGTTAGCCGTATGACCACTTTCCAGTTTCTACTAGACGAGATAGAAGCCAAATGAGTTAAAATAACAGATCTCTCATTGTAGGTAACATCAAATTCTGCTCTTTTCAGAGACTAAAATGAATATTTAAATAACTTTCCCAAGAACTACTAACAATAGCTATTTCTGTAGTTTAAACGACAACTTAGTGAGGACCTTCAATTAGGGATGCCTCTAATTACTCGAATATTAAGATAAACTTCGTTGGTGGTTTTGGATCTAAAACTTGCCTGCCGATATGTTTGGGCTAATCTTGAAAGTTTTCGAAGTATGAGGTCGTTTTGGAACTATTCTGAACATTTACTGAGGCAGAATAATGTTGTGCCATGAGTTTCCTTTATTACGACATGTGGGCTTTGTAAAGGAAGTTTGAATAGCTTAATAAACTTTTTAGTGTAAAATAAAATATAGGAAACGAGAGTTCGTATATTAAACTAGAATTACTACATAACATACATAACATTACACCTTTTATACGGGGTAGACAGAGGTGCACATTACGGCACTTAATGCCACTGTACAATGTAACACTCACTTTTCACTATTTATGTTATATTATGTTCCATGTAATAGGCGGGTGAGCCTATTAACATATAATATACCACAATTCTAGACTCCGTGCTACTACTGACCAACCACTCGGCCAAAGAAGCCAGATTTAGATCTACATACAATACAATTATTTATCAAGCCATAACCTATTTGTAGCACAATCACAACTTGTACCACATCAAATCAGCAGTCCGTGACACATCAGTGCTAGACTTCAGTTTTCTCTACTCAAAAAAGGTTTGTCCATAATCCGCGCTTAGCAGTCTTGTTGGGAATCGCAATTTAGGTGCTGTATTTGAAAGGGCTACTGCCCAGCTTCTGTTAATTTGTCTCTGTCTAGATATCTCAAGTATCTATTTTCTTTGTTTCAGATCAAAACTAGCAGTGCTAAACAACAGGCACGCCTACTTTCTTCTGGTAGACAATGGATCAGTTGGCCGGTACGGAGCTGAGATCGTGCTTAGGCGAAAGCTGGAGAAGTACATCGCGGCGCAGAAACTACATCCATGTAAGTGATTGCATTGTTTACCAGCAATGAATACCTAGATACTGATAGAATAGAATTTGTGGCGACACATGTCAAATGACAGTCTACCTTTTTTTAATGGGGGAAAATCCTCATGGACTGCCTCAGCCTAAGGAAAGGCGGAAAGGTGTGCCGGACTCTTACCGGCTAAAACCACCCCAGTGTCTCCTCGCACGTGCGCGCGGGGCCGCGGGAGTCCAAATTCATCCGCAGATGACAGTCTACCTAAGTGAACTTAAGTCCAATTATTATCCAATCATAAAAAACAACATAACATAACATCACGCCTTTTATCCTCGAAGGGGTAGGCAGAGGTGCACATTATACCACTGCACAATGTGACACCCACTTTTCACTATATGTGTTATGAGTCCCATGTAATAGGGGGTGAGCCTATTGCCATATACCGGGCACAGTTCCAGACTCCGTGCTACTACTGAGAATTTATTTATTTCATAAAAAACATCCATAAAAAATATACTTTGAAACTTACGACATACCTACGTTTCTTGTCTAATTGTCTGGATATACATAATTGGCCTAATTGTGTTGTCCATCAATATGTTTGTGATTCAACATTTTGTTATAGTATTGTGATTAACTAGTCGTTGTTTGAAATAGGACATTTTTATCAGTTGAGATTTTTCAAGTATTTATTTTTGTCTTTGAAATACGAAGTTAAGCTTTACAAACCGTTTCCTAAACGTTACTAGATGTTATAAGCGCTGTCTTTCGTTGTTTGTTTATTTATCTTTTTGTGTTGTCCCCACAATCTTATTCAAGGAATGCTTTGACAACAGATTTGAATATATAAACGATTTGATATAAACGAAACCATTCGTTTCTTAATTTATAGGAGTGCTAAAAATAGGTACTTCCCTAATCGATAATAACCAGTAATTACACCTAACTACTTGTAGCGCGAAATTGGAATACTCCACACAAAAAACAATAATTCAATTTCAAAGCAATTACAACAATAAAAAACTAGGCCAACTGTCAAGCAGTAACACAAAAAAAATAAAGTCAAAACAAAACAAAAAAAAAATATTACCAAACAAGCTAAAAATAAAACCAAACTTAAAAAAAGTTACATGAAATTTTGTACCGAAAACAATATTGAATTTGTGTACCGGTACAACAAGTCTATTTTCGAAATGAATTTCCACTTTGTTTGACCTAAAAGTTAGTTGGGTCCCTTTGTTTAATGACCCTAGGCCACCTGACTTCGGGCCGGCACAAGATTGGACAAAACTTTTCGGATTTTATTTAGCGATGTGAATTTAGTTACAGAGGCTTGACGTTGAGGCCTGATGTAATAATTGTGGTTAATTAGAATATACTGAGTCAAGTAGTTTATAAAATATAGACCTTAAAAACAACAGTCACTCGTATCCTGAAAGATTTTGCAATGTCAATCAGGTTTTATTTTTAAGATATCTTGTATGTAATATATATCGTATGTAAGTATATGCTAGCATGTAACTGGTGCCAATTTATTATTATGTTTTCGGCTTACTCACGTAATTATTTGACGAAGAACTCGACTACCAGCGCGACAGTGGCCGCGTCGCAGGTCGCTAAAGGCTGCTCGTGAATAAGAGCATGGCTTGAAACTAGTCGAATTCCTCGTCAAATAATTACGTGAGTAAGCCGAAAACATAATAATATATTTAGTATGTCCCACGAAAGTTATAATACAAATATGGTGCCAATTTGTTACTGCTACATGTATAAGACATGACATGCTCCCATCAATGCAAAATATTGCGTTTTAGACAAAGTTTTGAAACCGATTTGCCTTGCCTTTACACACTTCACTTCAAAAAACTCATTCCATTCTGATAATCCGTATCTTACTAGGTAACCTGAATGGCAAAACTTGGATAATACCTACCAAAGTTAGTCAAACTTCCATTGTAGTACGAGGCTTAAAATTAGTGTTCTAAGGATCGGCTCAAAATCTTAGTACGAACTAAGTTTTGAGTTCCTACTACTAAAACATATTACTGCTGCTTACTTGAGAGGAACTTAAGTGTGAACTCTTCCAATGTAAGTTCGCTAAGTGATTTATCGCGACTTATTTCCTGACTCTGAGCTTAAACTTAGCCCGAGATAACCCTAGCGGATTTCTATTAAAGCGTTTGATTTCTACTTAAACTTTACATTTGTACTTCTTAATAGAATGAGCAAAGATTTTAACAATATGTCACAAAAATATAACATTCCTGAGTCTGGATTTACACTCTGACTGATATGAATGTGAAAAGTCGAGTGAAATACAACACATCTCTACCTACCCTACCCCTCGAAACAAACAGGATATATTGAGCGTTTATCATATTTTCTTGTTTACTAATGTTCTACTCGTACAATAAAATGCAATCGAAAACCATCTTTATTGCAATTTAATAAAGTCACTTTTCGAGCGATTACATAAGCAGCGTTAGCCAGAACAATTTCTAGTGCTGCATTCGTTGTTACATACCGCTAGTAAAATCGACCGACCGGTCTCGACCACGGGGTACTGTACGGTGCTACTTATGTATACACTTACCACAGTTGTTGACTGCGGAGACGAAGCGCCTTCTTTAGTTTTTTCAAATTCCTGGGTTGTGTCTTCCGTTTGAAACATAAACGAGAACAGATCGTAATACCACAGATGTGGAGTGTAAATCTCTGATTCATTCTCGGCAGTCTTCTTGCTGTTTTGCACTCGTTTGTATTCTCTCCTGACACAGGCTCGCAAACTTTCAATTTTCCTCAGTACATGCACTCTAGTGGCACTGGGATCGTACATCTGGACGAGTTGGGTCAATTTTGTTATTGCTTCGTGGCGCTTGTTTTTCATTTTGTAGGATACGCAGTGCTTGTCCCAGAGACATGGTTGTCTTTGGTATAGAGAGATGAATTCCTTGAGTAGTTTTCGCGGGAACACAACGTTTATGGTATCGGACATATTGTTGGCGCTGACGCGTTCGTCGAGCGGCGCGGCGCGCGGGTCACTGAGCGTGTTGGGTGGGGCCGGGCGCAGGCTCGCCCCCCGCACCCCGCTGTCGCTATAACACCCCTGTGACACCCGATTGCCGATGTTTTGTTCGCCAACATGTTGTGTGCGGTCGATACCTACGCGCGGCTCGTTATAACTGTATTGTAGTGATTCTACTGATAACTTGTTGAAGGGAATCACAATCTTGCTTAAATAAATATTTGCTAGGCTTTCGTTTTGTAATTAACTTTAGTTTAGTTTTTTTAAGAAATCAAAAGGTTGACTTTTATAAATATAAGCCAACAAAAAAGATCTGAGCTTCAATAATTTTAAATTGAAAAATAACAGTCTCGTTTCATTTTAACCTATTATTACAAAATCCGTGCTTGACCTCAATTTAGCCGATTTAAAAAAAACAAGCAGGTCAAGTATAAATATAAATATTGACATCATTAAGTCTTGCCATCCTTGAGGAAGTACAAAGCATGCAATTTGCCGGCATTTTAACGAGGGATCCTTCGCTCCTGGCATTTCTCTAACGCTGACGTCACTTTACAAAATAAAATGGCTACCGGTACCACCGACAATGAGGAAAAAACATTGTCTTTTTTTAATTAAGTGTTTTTGACCCCTCTTAATGAGTGTTTGTTTCATGTGGGTGGACAAAGGGAAGTCTTAGGCTTTGCTTAGAAGCAAAACAACAGGTTAATCTAAAAAAAATAAAACAATAAAAAAGAAAAAAACTCAGTAGATAGAAGTAGTTAGTAGTACATAAGAAAAAAAAAACAAAACATATTGATTCTCTGACTAAGATATTTCTATTTTAGAAGAAGAAAATTAAAAGTAAAAATAATTTTCTGTTTTTAAAAAAAAGTCAGTATCTAAGTGCTTATAATAATAGCATTGAGTCCAGAATATAATGTCTATTATATGGGACATCTCGTTGTGTGATCCACAAATTGTTGTTACGGGTCTGAGTGTCATGTGCATGGTGATATTATACCTCCACATATTATGTTTGTAAACGCACACGACACAGGAGAAAATACTAGTGTGAGGCAAGGTTTTATAAAATAAATAAATAAAAGTGTTGTTTAAATATTATCTGTGGCCAGCTTACCACTAAACTCTATACCATAGTTATTTAAGGAGAAGGAATGTTGTATATGTGGTAGACGTCGTAGAAATAGTACGGTCGGTAGTAATTAGAACTACTCAGTTCGTCCATATTATTATAATGTATTCACAATGATAACAGTCAGTAAAGTAATGTAAGTGAGTAATTACACAAGATGGTAATATCACACTTGTATGACATTTAGAATTAGGTATCTTAAGAGATGAGCGTGATCGAGAAACGACGTCCCACAAAGTAATGTCTGCCTGCCCTTTTACCCGTATCGACAGGGTCCTAATAGCGTCCCGCACAAAACCGCTTTCTCTTGGCAGCATCGCGTCCCTTAACTGTTACCAATGCTATCATCTGTCACATTCAAAACATATCAATTGATGTCTACTAATCGAAAACAACGCCCTCTATAATAAATACTAAGAACTATTTGGTTAGCATACCAATGATTACGTCACCTGTACAATTGAGTTAGCATGAAAATAATAAACAAATCAATATATAGTTATGACTTATGATAAAGGAGGTGGCAGTAGTTGTCGTAGCATGTATATGTAAATTGTACGTTGACGCATACATTAATTTTTTTTTTTTTTTTTTTTTTTTTTAAGGGGGGAAAATCATCGAATGACTGCTCCCGCCTGGGCGAGGCGGAAGGGAGTGTCAGACTCTTACTGACTAAAAACCACCCCGTTCCTTCTCCTGCACGTCGAGCCGGAGCCCCGGTTACCCGTTAGGTTCTCCGCGACTCCGAATCGGCATCGGCCCTATTGGGCCCCATCTGTGGTGGTCTGATGGCTCTTTGAGGCGCGCGCGGAACGCGACGCGCCGTACGCTCGGGTCTGTTTCTGGTCGGACGGGGAG